CGCCCCGTCGAGCTCCTCCCCCGCCCCTGGGGCCCCGCTTCTGGAGCCGCCGCCGGGCCGTCCAATCCCCGCCGGGGGGGCCTCCTCTCCCCGCCCTCCCCGTCAGCTGTTAGTTGCCGCTAGTGTCTTGGCTGCAGGTTGTTTCCAATTTAAAGTGCAGGAAAACAACGGGGACTCCTGTCTCCTTAACCTAGGGCCAACCCCCCAAGCAAGAAACTGGCTTCCACAGAGCTTCATCTAAATGTGGCCTCACTCTGAAGGGGACACTAAAGAGATGGCTGAGACCTGTGCCTCTCCCACGAGGTGGCCAGGACGTGGTGTGTTGGTGGCAGGGGTTGCAGATAGACCACATCTCCCCAAAAATGGCGAGGAAGCCACTTGGGGACACACACACACACACATACACCATGTGCTGTAAGAGCGCAGCTGAAGCACCAGCTGGGATCTGATGTGGTCAAATTGAATACACACATTTATCCCCGTAACTGGCAGTGAGAGTTTATATCATCCTCAAGGTACACAATGTTCCAACACAACAGCACACACTGTGGGGGCTGAGGGAGGCAGGTACCTAAGGCAGGCCTGTCCTGTTCAGCAGAGCCTAAAATGCTCTAAGAAGATGCTCGCACCCGCCACTCTCAATGACTGTGGCTGAGGGCAAAGGTCGCCGGGGGTGAAACAGGCCTCCCCTGTCCATGGGCCAGAGGGGTGGTGGAAACAGTCATCATCCAAAAGCCCGGACTTCGGTTTACCTGTTCACACAGCCCCCTCCTGCTTCCTGCAGAGCCTTCCTTGTAGGTCTGGGGAATGAATACATCCCTCAGGTTTCCCTCAACTCCAGTCACGACTCTGTGCCGCTGGCTTTGCCTCTGTCCCCCTGCCCCTTGCAGACAGGCGATGCCTCGCCAGGAGCCATCACTGCTGTGATTCAAGTGTCGACTCAAGTGCTCCAGTGGTGCCAGGCCCAGGCAGGCCCCGGCTTCCCCAGTGGGCCCAGGGGCAGCAGAGGCTGGCCCACCTGCTCAGCAACTGTTGCTCACAGCCAGCCAGTTAGGGCACTGAAACCCAGCCCTCCCAGTGGGGCCTCCTAAGCCAGCCAGAGAGATTTAGGGGTCACTTGAGGGGACCGCACTCAGCCCTGCTGGCCTCCAGAGTCCCAAAATAAAAGCTGAGCTTGGCCTACTGAGCTGGTTCCATCTTCCACCCCCAGAGGGTTCACTTCCCACCCCAAACATGTGGTGACCTCTAGGCTGAACCAGTGTGGGCAGAAGTGTGGACAGCGCCCCCCCAGCACTTCCTGCCACCCAACCCCAGTCTGGCCTCACTGCCCTCCTGCAAGCCTTTCCCTCAACGTCCCTCCTTCCCAGAGATGCTAGCTCCCACCATACTGCCATCGCTCAGCTCCCCTCTCTCCTGCACCCCTGCCCCGTCAGCCTCTCCTCGGCTGGATTCTTCCCAGTGGCGTTCAACTGGGCCACGTAAAACAGATCCTCAGCACCTCAGCCCATCCAGCCCCAGCTCTGACGCCCTGCCGCCCCTTCCCCCACTCACTCCTCAGCCCAGAGCCACCTGGTTCTCACCCTGCTCCTTCCCAAGTACGCTGGCCAAAGTACTAACTCCCTCCCGGCCATAAACTCAATGGAAGTTTCTCAGTCCTGAGTGGACTTGCCCCTTCAGTAACGCTGGACTCTCCCCCCTTCCAGAACAGCACTGCCCCTTGGCTCCTGGGAGCCCCAGTCCCCTGGGACTCCCCTCCCCTCTGAGGTCCATTCTCTCCTGTCCTCTACCAGGAGGCGTTGCTCCTTCCATTGCTTCTTCTCACTCGACTAGGACTTCTTCCCCCTCCCCCTCTCCCTAGCTTCCAGTTTCTTCCCAGGGGAGATATGTGGGTTCATGAGGCTGCATCCCGGCATCCAGCATCTCAGCATCTTGACAGCCCAGTCACAAAGAGCATGGTGTGTCTGAGCAGGGCCTTAAGCTTTGGGGCCCTAAGTTTCAGGCCCCAGGGGAATGCTGCTGGACCAGTCTGCACATTTGGTTTAAGCCTTCTAGGCCCCTTGTTGAAAGAGTGAAAGAGTTTGGAGGTTGCTGGATGCCCCCGACAGAGAGGGCTCACCCTCAGCCTACTTCAGACAACAGCCTTGATTGGAGTCCCTCCCAGGCCCCCAGCCTGCATGGGTCCTTCCCTGGGAGGCCTGGGAAGCTGGAGGCGCTCAGCTGCCGACACTCCAGAGGAGCTTGCCAGTGGCTGCCCGAAGGCCTCCCCTTGGGGGTGCTCCACGAACCACAGTCACATCCATCCCATCACCCCCTCCCCAGCTCTGAGGCCCACCCCAGGGGATAGGCCAGAATTCCCCAAGGAGGTATGTGAGACCCCCAGGACCTCCGTCCTCCCTGAGAACAGGTGCAGGGCCCTGGAGGCCCCAGGGCCAAGGTCTGTTTATCATCTGTCCCCCTTCATCCTAGAAAGTCAGAGGATCTGGCAGTGGATGTGGGATTCCAGAAAAGCACATGTTGTTGACTTCTGCAGTGTGTGGTCATTCCGTGATTCAATAAGCATGCTTGTGCCAGGCCCAGGGAGGTAGACAAACGGGGTCCCCAGCCTCATGGAGTGAACCAAGGGTCATGGAGGAAACCAAGGTCATGCAGGCAAACAGAGCCACGGGACACATACATGTGTGTGTGTGCGTGTGTATTCTCCAAAGAACCAATAGGAGATTATATAAATATATATACACACACACACATATGTATGTATGTGTGTATGCATGTGTGTATGTATATAGGGAAGAGAAAGAGAGGGAGAGACTGAGATGGAGATTGATTTACTATGAGGAATCAGTGCACACAATTATGGAGGCTGAGAAGTCCCACGATCCGCCCTCTGCTAGCTGGGGACCCAGGAGAGCCAGTGGTATCATTCTGAAGGCCTGAGAACCAGGAGAGCCAATGTTGTAAAGCCCAGTCTGAAGTCTGAAGTCCACAGCACAGGCCGTCAGGAAGAGCAAGCAGGCTGGAAACCCAGGCAGAAGCTGACACTGCAAACCACAGAATTTCCTCTTCCTCGGGGAAACCTCAGTTTTGCCCTTAAGGCCTTTCAACTGATTGGATGAGGCCCACGCAGATGATTCAGGCTACTCTACTTCAGGTCATCTGACTGCAGATGTCAACTGCCTCTAATGGAATACCTTCATGGCAGCAGATCACTGTTTGATTAAATAAATGGCCAATATAGCCTAGCCACGTTGACGGGGACAGATGAGAAACACATTAACGAAAGAGTAATAAGTTGCATTCAGGTCTACAAAGGAAACACAAAAGGAGGGCAGAGAGTGAG